GCACTGCCCTGCAACCATGAATGACGGCGAAGACTGTGCGGCACAATCCCAGCTTCTCTGTCCTCACAGCGTTACAGATCTCTTGCATTCTGTTGATGCTTTTCTCTTTGACTGCGATGGTGTAATTTGGAAGGGCGATAAGCTCTTTGATGGAGTCCCTCAGACCTTACAGACGCTTCGTTCCAAGGGGAAGAAGCTGGTTTTTGTGACCAACAATTCCACTAAGTCAAGAAGGCACTATGCCAAAAAATTTCATTCCCTTGGAATTTCAGTCAGCGAGGAGGAGATATTCTCTTCATCATTTGCAGCGGCTATGTTCTTGAAAGTCCGTGACTTCCCTCGAGAAAAGAAGGTTTATGTAATAGGTGAGGAAGGCATATTGGAAGAATTGGAGCTTGAGGGTTTTACAGGTCTTGGAGGCCCGGAAGATGGAAAAAAGATGGTGCAGCTGAAACCAAACTGTCTCTCTCTCTCTCCCTCTAATCTCTCTCTCTCTTTAGTCTCGAATACATACAAGAGAGGTGCATGCTTGGTGGTGAAACATGACAGATAGTATACAAAGAAGTTGTCTCCAACAATAATCCCACTACCCAATGCCCTTCGTGTTGTTTACAGCTGTGTTTTTCTTTGGTCATCATTTTCTTTTCTTTTATTTTATTTTTACCCCATCATCCCCCACCTTTTGCATATACCCATACTTCTTTTTATTTTTAAACCAAAAAACAAAAAAAGTGGAGTGATTAAACAAATGGTGGGTTGGACAGTGGCAAGATGAGAGAGAGAAGGCATGTGGGTAAACATCAGATAGAGAGTGGGTTATATTATATTCAGAAAGTGGAGTGCTGGCAGTGGTAGACTCGTATTAATTGTCTCATCAAAAAAAAAAAAAACATCATCATCTCTCCTCCGTCTGCTTTCCAACTCCATTATTTTTTATTTATTTTCTCCAAACCATTTTCCTTATTTTCCCATCTTTCATTTTTTATTTCAATTATATTTTTATTATTTCTTTCTTTATTTTTCTTTCACATTATTTTTAATCTTTTTCCACTTCCATTCATACCATATAGCTTTGCACACCATACCATATTTTATTCATCTCAGGGATCCACCCCAATCACAATTTTACACACAAAAAAAAAACACAACAACAGCTTTGTTTTCTTTTCTGCAGCCGGCCACCAATCGACCTCACTTCTTCGCCTATTCCGCCGGCCTCTTCTTCTTGCCTCCGTCCTGGGCGGCCCTTGACGGTGTTGCCTCCGTGTTTCCTTGTCCACCGAGCACGTTCACTCCTCCATACTCCTCCACTGCAGCATACGGCGGACCTCCAAATCGGAACATCACAGTGGCCTTCCGCTTCAGCTCCTTATTTTCTGCTTTCAGCACACTTATCTCTGCTCGCGCATCCTTATACATGCGTTGGAGCAGAGCCAGCTGGGAATTTAAATGCTGCACCTCATTTGTCCTACTCTGCAGCCGGTTCGACAAATTTGTGACCGCCGTCATGGTTTCCACGCATGACTTCAGCTGATTGGCTTCCACATCCGACTGCACTGCCATTCTTTGCTCCACAGACCGCATCGGAAAGTTCAACGGAGCAAACTCCGGGGCGCTTGGTTGAGGTTCCAGTGCCACCGCGCCCGTTATCTCTCTTGTTGACTCATTGAGGTCGGGAAAGAGAGTGAGTAGACCTCGGGATGAGGATGCCGTATTCTGGGTAGCTGAACGGGAAGAAGAGGCCATTGTTCAGATGTTTCAGAGAAGGATTGGATACAAAGTCTTTACCGAGTGTTTTTCTCTCAGAATACAGCGTATTACAGAGTTTCTCTCTCAGCAGAGGAAGAATTTTTCAGAGGTTTTTCTCAGTTTTTCTGTCTCAGCTTCTGCCTCAGCCTCAGCCTCAGCCTCCGTCTTGGTTAAATAGCCGAGGCAGCCACGCCAGACGACAAAACGGGCGCGCCAGCCAAGGTAGTCACGCGCCTCGCCATAATGTCCGGCACACATTTTTATGGATTGAGCGCGCCTTTTGATGGCACACCTTTTTATAGATTGGGCACGCCTTTTGATGGCACGCCTTTTTGAAAGATAGGGCACACCTTTTGAGGGTGCGACTTTTTAAGGGTCCGACAAGACTCTGTAAACTGTCCCGACATTGATTCCGGTTAGCTCCTTCATGGGTCTGACAAGAATGAATCATGCTGTAGGATAGGAAACTTATTCCAAATCTGGAAGTAAGGCTTTAGAGAATAAGGCTTTAGTATAATGCACTGTTGTACACTTACGGTTGAATTAGGTTTTTGTTTCTACCCATTGTAGATTGTAAAGATGGCTAAAAGAATTATCATTACTAGTTTATCTGTCAGATGCATTTGATCCTATAAGGTTTGTGCTGTGGTAAACAACTTTCTGGTAGTACATGGGTGAACTGTGAATGCTTACTATCTCATGAGTTAATGATGCATTTTGACTTTTACTATCCAAGTTTGCAATCTCTCAATTTTTTGTTTATTTTTCAACAAAGAGCATCCTATGAGAATGAGATAAAGAGGAAAACAGGCAGTGTAGCTGTATTCCAATTTTTTGTTAATGTTTTGTTCTTCATCCGCTTGCAGAAGCAATTAAAGTAGAAATCGGATTCAAGAATCCACTTCAAATCCCTATTTCTATCTCTAGTGTTTCCCTAATATGTGAGCATTCTGCAAGATCTGATGAAATTGAAGTTGGTAAGTTACTATTGGTGCCCATTAATTTATCCATTTCTGGTCAATCGTTTCTTTCTTTAGTTTTACTGTTGTTGGATTTTTTAAGCCTAAAAGGTAATTTTATTTCAATGCTGCAGATCCAAATGGCACATCTACTGAGAATCAGAATGATGACCAATTCAGAAAATTAGCCACTAGTGGGTATGTGTATAAACTTTAAAATTTTCCCCTGAAATATCCTCTGTACTTATAAACATGTCTACACTTTGTCTTCATCTCAATTCCATGGTGCTTCCAATTGCTAAAGATAGTGCCACATGATAATTGCAGGGAATGTAGCTCAGAAATGTCCTCATTTACAGTGTCTGAGGTTGACATTTCATTGGGAGGAGGTGAAACACTTTTGGTGAGTTTTTCTTATGCATGGAGGACTTTCTTAATTCTCCCAAAGCCTGGCACCCTTTTGAATGACAGAATGTTGTGAATTTAACTGGTGCTTACTACAAAATTCATTGTGCATCTTTCTCTTGTGTACATTGGTGTAGATTATGGTAGTTGTTGGTAATGGGTTTCCCATTCCTATGAAAGTTGACCTGTCATAAAACTGTGAATGCATCTGATTTTATATATAAAATATGAATATATAATCAATTTGATTTCGTGGTTTTGACAGTCAATTAGCTACAAAATATTCCAAATTTGTTTATGTAATTGATATCTAGGGATAGTGATAGATGTGGTTTTGTTTCATATTCCAACGCCACTCTTTTGGATGGATATTGTTTACCTGTAAGTGGGGCATGAACAGGTACATGAACATTATTTACAAAATAAAACACGTCGAAGACTTCCACTTCATTACTGAAAGTCAAATACATAGCGTGTTTGGCTCTTTGAATGATAGTATATGGTATAAACAGATGTGTCAAAATGCCCTTTATGTCCTTCAATGCTTGATGTGAGACTGGCATAAGCAATTTTTAGTATGTTTTTTAGACAACAGTTAAGAAAGGGACTGCATTGGATTAATGTGAGAAGTTTAGGGATGCAATTGATGCAAATTAAAGATATGGGACCAAAATGAAATCAAGGGTATACTTTAGGGACCATTTGTGTAATTTACCCTAAAATAAACTTAAATTCTTTATTTTTTGTACATAAATAAGTACAAAGCAGTGCATATAGACAATAACAGTTCTATTAAGAAAAAAATTTGTCAATAATCATTCAATGCAAACTTAGGTGAAACGTGAGGGTTCAGACAGCAGATCTTCCAACCTCATGCAAATACAATAACATACTTTAAACCATCTAAGTACTGGATTTACATATAAGCCATTTCAATAAATAAATAAAACCATTTTACAGATCATGCAACATCAATTGGATGCAAATTAGAGACTTTTGTTATTTAAATTAATGAAATTGAATATTCACAACAAACTCACCTTAAACTTTGTAACTTGAATGGAGTTTGCAATTGGATCAAACAACCCTGCTTCCTTGTACATTTCAAGAATGAAAACGACACATGATGTAGACTTTCCATCACTGTATATCCAATTGTCTTGCTCGGGAATTGTCAACAATTCATCAAAAGATGACCCCACGCCTTTCAGCTTCTACAAGAATTTCAGGAAGATCAAGGCCCTACACAGAAGTCCAATGTCAAATCAAATATTTAAACAAATACAGACAAGTACACATTTCATTTATTTTAAGTAGTACACCACAATTTAATGATGCTATCAGTCATTGTATATCGCTTCATCTAGACCAACGTCTAAATTCAATGGCTTGCTGGTTAGGATCAAACCATCTTGTCTAGATTTGGTCCAAGAGATTGTCGATTAATCTCATGAACTGCCAGTACCAATACATTTCTGTTAGAATTTACCATCACCTACCACCAATTTACCATCACCTACCACCACCTACTTCTCACCTACTCCTCACCTACTACACTCACCCTCTCCTATATAATGAGCCACTCACCATTTGTAATATAACAATCAGATATCAATCAATAATACATCATTTTTAACATTTCCCAAGTCGTCTTTGATGACAAAACAAACCAAATCAAACCAAACCAAATTAAGCCTTACATTCCAATCAATCGGGGTAATCGTAAGCTACAAGAATCCTTTTTCACCATTCAGCTCTATCAAAAACTATATGCTTAGTTAAATGAGATAAATTCTTTTTTTTTTTTTTCACTATCCCAATTGCACTCTAGAGATACAGATGCCTGATACACCATTCCTCAATATAAAAGGACCCAAATAGATAACGATGGGAATCCTCTTTCGGTCATGAGAATCCCATCTATTTAACTACGTTTTTCAACAAGCAAACCTTTATGAACTTTCGGCCAATAAAATGAGGAATAAATTGTTACAATACCTTAGTTTCAAGTCGCTTGTTCAAGGCTTCATTCCACATGTTAGCAGCATAATCAGGCTGTACATTATTCCAAACGGTCATAACAGAAGCAACCTGTTCCGTAACAAATTTGACAATCAAAACCAGTAAATGAAAATAAAACCCCCCACGCTGCATAATATACAGGAGAAAGAGGAGACAGAAAGGAACGCAGCACCAGCAAATAAGTTCTACATTATTAGTGTCATCATTATGGTACTGCCAGTCTTAACCTTTTCAACCTTTACATGCCTCTGGAATGTGGTAGGTAGTAATGAATTAATTGAACACATTTAAAATTTCATGGAAAAAAGCAAATTTTGTAGATCTTCTAATTATTTCATTTTTACAACCAAACACATCTAATTGTCTAATTCATTAATAAATTGATTCTCAATTGCCCGATTCCTAAGCATATCTCAAGGGTGTGCAAAGATCATAGAACATAGCAAACCCAAAGGCCAGCATGAAGTTAACTTTGCCGTCGAAGTATGAGAATCAAAATTCAGTTTTTTTTTTTTTTTAAATAACCCTTGGAAATCCGATGGGCTGGCTCCTTTGTGGGCCAGCTTGAATTTGGGATATCCACTCCTTAAGGTGTAGTCTTGAGATATCTGGTTTACGCTTCGAGTGCCATTTACATAATTTTTTAGTGCTTGTGCAATATTACATGTTAGATAAATCACTAATAGTGTTTATAATCAAGTTATACCTCATAGCCTTAGGATTCAAAGCAGTAGTGGGCGGAATATAATTCTTTGAAATATCAAATGGTACCAAACCTCTCCTTAATTTGACTAACCAAATAGCCGTTTGATTAAAGCCGAGCACGTGCGGAGGGTTTTTCCCGCACGTGCGGCACCCCTTCCCACACGTACAGTGACCACTCCCGCACGTGCGGCCGTACCTCAGATTTTGTGCCGCTGTTTTGAACCTGTTTGAAAGACAGCCAAGGGATTAAAAGGCAAAAAATAGGTTAGATTAGGATTTAGAAATTTGGAAGAAGAAAGAGGAGGCTAGGGTTTGGGAAAGGTGATTCTCAATCTTCAAAGCAAATTCTCATAGAGGGTTCCATCTCTTCCACCTCTTTCCACTCCTCCATGAGTGGCTAAGCTCTTCTTTTCTAGGGTTTTGATGAAACCCTAGTGCTGGAAATTGTGTTCATGCATATAATATGATAGTGGTGTTGGTGGTAGATAGTGGCATGTATAGAATATGATAGTGGTGTTGGTGGTAGATAGTGGTATGTATAGAATATGATAGTGGTGTTGGTGGTAGATAGTGATATGTATAGAATATGATAGTGGTGTTGGTGGTAGATAGTGATATGTATAGAATATGATAGTGGTGTTGGTGGTAGATAGTGATATGTATAGAATATGATAGTGGTGTTGGTGGTAGATAGTGATATGTATAGAATATGATAGTGGTGTTGGTGGTAGATAGTGATATGTATAGAATATGATAGTGGTGTTGGTGGTAGATAGTGATATGTATAGAATATGATAGTGGTGTTGGTGGTAGATAGTGATATGTATAGAATATGATAGTGGTGTTGGTGGTAGATAGTGATATTTTCGGAGTTCTTCTTCTTCATATTTTCTAAGTTGGTATCAGAGCAACAAAAAACACAGCAGTCCTAAAACCGTCATAGCCATGTCGGAAGTCACGTCCGGAACCACTTCAACCCCTGCCGCTGCCATTCCGGTGAAAACGTCCAACTCTCACTCTGTCCAAATCACCACCATCCGCCTAAATGGTGATAATTTTCTCCGCTGGTCACAATCTGTCCGGATGTATATCCGTGGGCAAGGAAAGATCGGTTACATCACTGGTGACAAGAAGGCTCCTGTTGTTAATGATCCGCTGTTCGACAATTGGGACGCTGAAAACTCCATGGTTATGACCTGGTTGGTCAATTCCATGGAGGAGGATATAAGCTCTAATTACATGTGCTATACTACTGCACAAGAATTGTGGGATAATGTTAGTCAGATGTATTCTGACCTAGGAAATCAATCTCAAGTTTTCGAATTAACTTTGAAGTTGGGAGAGATTCGTCAAGGAGATGACTCCGTCACCAAATATTTCAATTCGTTGAAAAGGTTTGTGGCAGGATCTTGACTCTTCAACACATACGAATGGAAATCGGTTGACGACTGCAACCACCACAAGAAAAACTGTGGAAGACAGCCGTATTTACAAGTTTCTTGCCGGCCTCAACATTGAGTTCGATGAAGTGCGAGAAGAATATTGGCAGACCTCCTCTCCCATCCATTGGCGAATAGTATTTGCCGATATAGTCAGAAGGGAAGGAGAGCCGAAGGAGCGTCATGCTTAAGAGAAAAGTAATGGTGAATTTCAATTGAAATTGTGCATTAATTAGCGATGCTGCGGCCAACAAGGCTGGCAAATTACCAGCCGCAGGTTTGATTGATAAGCCACGGGTCTGGCTGTGATTTTTGGCAACAACCTCGCCATACACGCGGAAACGTGTTGGAAGATTCATGGGCAAACCTGTCAACTGAAAAAGCAGGCAAAAACAAGGAGAGAAAGAATCGCTGGCTTTCCTACGCTTAATGAAAAGCCGATTCAGCGTCCCTTCAACAAAGAGCAGATTGATCACTCTTAAAGCTTGATTAAAATCCAACTCCTTCAAACCGGTACTCCTAGTGTTTTGTTGGCACCCAAACAGGTAAGAAATCCTAAAGCCTTCTCTTGGCCTAAACTTCTCTCCGTGGATCATAGATTCCGGTTGCCTTCCAATCACATTGACTAGTTTTCCCATTTAGTTTAGTAACCTATTTCCCTTGTTTCTAGTCATGACAAAATCAGAATGCCGATGGTAGTTTTTCACCTATTGCGGAAAAGGATTTATTAAAACTAAACTGAGAAAAAATTTAATCTCAATTGCTGTTTCTTCACGTCCCCACTAGGCCTTGTAACCTTTTGTCTGTCAGTAAAACTAATCTAAGGATTTCTTAATTGCTCGTGTTAACATTTTTTGAATCCCCATTGTGAATTCAGGACCAGAACTCGGGATGATGATTGGGCGTGCTAGGATGCTTGAATTGGTCTTTACTTACTTTGATGAGAAATAAAGGATGAGAAGTAATATAGTTAGTCATAAAAAATAAAAGAAACTCGAGAGGACTTAAATTTTAGATTACCAGTACAAAGTACATTTCTTCTAGAAATCATAAAAGAAAAAAAAGAAAAAAAAAACAAAATATAAATGAGCAATAAATAGGCGACTATTCAGAGACTAAGGAAGATCCTAAAAACTCTTCTT